TCTTAACTTACCTCCTTAAACTATCTTAGGACTTCTAGCTTTATCCCTTAAAGTCTCACGAATAGTTATTGATGTGCTCAGAGAGATTCTCATACACATTTGAGTATCTTGCTGTTGGAGCACTAGGAGTGTCACCTGACACACCCCACCAGAATTTCAGTTGTGTTTTCCCCTAGAGGTCATGCATATTAAGAACCATGCCCTTGGACAGAGCCTTGTCCAACTGGAGTACAGGTTTTCATTCTCTGGTTTGTAGTTCTATATTCAGCTTATTCAACATGAGACAGCTTTCATTTTGAAAATTGCCCAAAACATTTTACTTGTTATCTGTCCCCAGCATCAGTCTGCCTACTCTTTGATATCTGTTATTTTAGGATGGAAATCTCTCCTCTCTCATAAGAGACTCCTTGAGACAGCTAGGAACAGAGCCAAGACCTACAAAAGATCTTCTGGCTTACCTACCACCGCTGTTCTCTTCTGCTCTTCTTTTTGTATCATAGGTCACAGTTTTCTCATCATCTTTGTCATAGTCCTGAAAGCTCTCCAGCCCCCACCCCGTGTGTGTGTGTGTGTGTGAATACGCGAGTATTCATATATGCCATGGAAATTCCAGTTTTCTTGCTGATTCTCCCTCCTATATTTCCATTCTTTCGTGTTGCTGATATTCTCATCAATTTTGCTGACTTTCTCCTCAGTGTTTCCTCGCATCTTTACTTTCCACATCCATTAAAGTCATCTGCTTGTTTGTATCCTCTTTCAGGTCATTGATCATTCTTACCAGTAAACTTGTGGAATTTTTATCCAACATTTTACCTGTTCGTATTTTTGAGCTCTGTAGTTGAGGAATTATAATCTTTCTTGGGGAGTCTTGTGGCCTTGCTTTATGTTACTTGTGTTTGTGTGCTGCTATTTACATATGTTTTGGTAAATCTTCTGGTTTTATTTAGGACTCTTCTTGTTGAGCAGCCTTTTCAGTCCCCACTCCTACTGAGAAAAGAAGAAAATGATTTAGGAAGTGGCTTGTCTCATCCCCCTCCACTAGTGAGCCACAGCTTAGTTCCTACCAATTTGTTGCCTGTCTTTGCACATCTCAGGTTTCCTCTTCCTTTGTGAATGTCCAAAGTACTTTGTCTCTTTGGACTAGTTTTCTTACTCTGATTCTGTCCTTTGTAGGTTTATATGAAGACAGCTTCTGGTCTACCATTTACTGGGAAGTATCTTACTTCCTTAACATAGACTCTGGCAGTCATGGGTGGCTTTCCTCAACTCTTAAACCAACAGATGGTAGAAGTTCAAAGGAGCTTTTAAAAGAAAGTCACAAAAGTATAGTCATCTTGGAGTTTTCTTCATTTTCAGACTGTATCAGATTTCTATTGGACTGTATTTAGATCTGAAACTGTGGCAGGGAAGAAAATTATTGTAAACTGGAAACCCAAAAATAAAAATGTAAAAGAAATGCAACTATTGTTTTTCCAATTTTAATGACAAAATGTTTGACAAAATACATTACCAGTGCTCTGGGAAGGAAATTGTTAGACATTGTTGGTAACAATATAATTTGGTATGTTTATTGAAGGAAGTATAAGTTCTGTCAGATTATGAGTGCATATAGACTGTAACCCAGCAGTTTATCGCTTCTGAAAATATATCCCACGGATATACTAGTGTTTTTATGTTTGAAAAACATGTTTACCAAGTCATTTACTAAAGCATTGTTTATAATAGCAAAACTCAGATGTCTATCAAAGCACCCATTAAATAAATTATTGTAAAATACACAATGAGTCTATAAAGAATGAGGAAATGTTTTATATACTGCCATGTAAAGACCAAGGTATACTGTTACGTGAACAGGAAGTGTTTGTTAAAATGTGTTTGAATATTGCATATCATATTGGAGGGCTATATCTTGAACACAAGCATATGTACTTGAAATTTACCAAAGGAATGAATGACACTGTTTTCTTAGTAAGTAGGTTAAGTGGGAGGAAAGGATATGAAAGATTATGTCACAGGAATACTTTTCATTGTATCCCTTATTCTCAGTTTTTAATTAAAACATTTTTTGGTTCTAGAGCTTGAATTCAGGGCCTTGCACATGGTAGGAAAATTGGCTACTGCTAAGCTATGAGCTACATTCCTAGATCTTGTTTTTTTAGTTAAAATTTCTCATTCAGTATATTTTGGTCATGTTTTGACCTTTTCCCACCCTTCCCAGATCCTGCCCCTACTCACCCAACTTCATGTTTATTCCATCCCCTCAAAAAGAAATGAAACAATGTGAACAAAAAATGAAGAAATAAGCAAAACATCAGTAAGACAAAAAATGCCCAAACAAAGCAAAAGCACCCTACCACCACTACCACACACAAAATACCCTGTGGAATTTGTTCTGTGTTGGCCAGCTGCCCTGGATTGCGGTTGATATCCAGTGACACTCCACTGGAGAAAACTGATTTTCCCTTTGCCAGTCGATATCAGTTGCAAATAACTGCTTGGTTTGGGGTGGGGCTCCATCTGATTTTGACCTCTACAGGCCTGTACATGTTGCAGCAGTCGTCCTTCAGAGGAGGGCTTGATGAAGATGTCCTATTTAGGACTGAGTGCTCCAAAGCCTCTCACTTTCTGTACATTGTCCAGTTGTGAGTCTCTGTTAATTTTCATCTATTGCAAAAGAAGCTTCCCTGCTGAGGGTAGAATGATGCAGTGAACTGTGGCCATAGCGGTAGGTCATTAGGAGTCATTTTATTCCTGGGTCCTTAGAGTAATAGTATTGGGTTTTTCCCTAAGCCCATGACCTATCTAGTCCCAGATTCTAGGCCACTTTAGCAGTGTCTGCTATAGGTTCTATGTCATGTAGTGGGCCTTAAATCCAACCAGAAAGTGGTTAGTTACTCCTAAACATTTATGCCTCTGTTGGATCAGCATACTTATAGGCAGATTGCTGTTATAGGTTGCAGGATTTGTAGCTGGGTATGTTTCTCCTCCAGAACCTTACAGAGTTACCTTCCAGCACCATGAACACTAATCAGTCAGTCAGTAATGGTGAACTTCTAGTTGGGCACCAGCTCAGTTTCCTCATGTTTGGTGATATAAGTATTATCTTCAGCGATAGAACCTTACCATCAGCTAGCTCATGGGGAGCAACCAATAGTTTTTGCAATACTTTGTAATATTTAGGGGAAGACGATAGAACTTCTTTGACCAGTGACTCAAAATGTAATCCATTCCTGGTACTGGAAATTTTACTTGTTAACATTAAGTGTCCAGTTCAACCATTGTCTCCCTCATTATATAGTGACTCTGCCTGAATTCCTTTCTTACGTGTTTACTTTAGGAAACTTCTACAGTAGTAGTAGTAGTAGATTTCTATATGATTTTTGAAAAGGCTTTAGTGTTGTCCCTCCCCATAATCCCTGTTTGACCTTGTTCTTCCTCCGTTTTCCCGTTTAGTCTTATTCTAGCTTCTCCTTTATCTCTCCGTAGTAGCAGATTCTCTTTACTCTTTCTTAGGAGAGCCTCTCTTCCTGCCTTGATCCTTTACCTAGCCTTTGTGGAGATCCAAGCTTAGTGTTCAGCCCTAAATACATAGACTTACGAACATTAACACTAAATGGACTTAGCAGGTTGTATTTCTACACACACACACACACACACACACACTAATTAAAGAATGAAAGGTCTTGAATTTGAGGAGTGGGGAAGACACTGTCTGCACTGTCTCACTCTTCCAATGGAAAGAGGTGCAGGTAGAAAGGGAAGTGATCTAAATGGAAATTCTCAAAAAATAATTTTAAAACTTTAAGCTAAAATATAAATAAAATATTCCTATCTAAGTAAAATAGCATTCTGGAAGAATTTTTAGTGATATGAAAAAATACTCAAGATATTACATAGCAATCTATAAAATATAATAGGTATGTGTAAAATATAATATAATGTGTGTAGGTTCTACCTGAAGAATCTGTAGAGAAAATGTACAAATACATCGGAGTGGTGATGGGTAATTCTGAGTTACCCCTTTGCTTAGCTTTACACTTGTGAATTTTTCAGAATTTCAACAATGATTAGCATACTAGTTTGATAAGGTAATAATAAGCATATTTAGAGAATAAAGTCACAGTAAAAAAAAAAAGTACACAAACGTTTCTGCAGTGGGAAAAAATGTTTGCATCACAATTTTTTAAAAAGACAAATACAGGGCTAGTGAGATGGCACAGCCAATAAGGGTGCTTGTTGCCAGTCCTGATGGCTGAGCTCAATCTCTGGAACCTACAAGGTGGAAAAGGAAAACTGACTCCTGAAAGCTATCTACTGTCTAACTGTGTGTGTGTGTGTGTGTGTGTGTGTGTGTGTGTGTGTGTGCGTGCGTGTGTGCGCGCACACACACATTGAATTAGAGATAAACCCCCTTGGAGACATCGTCTTCCTAATACATGGTACTCATTATAAACACCACCAAACAGTTCTCAAAGCAGGAGATTGAAAAGAAGGGCAACTGAGACAGAAGTAACCATGTAGGGCAGTGGCCTAGGGACTCAGGCTATCTACAGTTTATAGCCGCTGATCTTTGTACAGGCCCTACCAGGTGTGACAGTGGACTAGGGGTGTAAGGATCCGAAAATTGCTGAAGGAAAATCCCAGACTCAGATAGTGTGCAAAAACAAAGAACATTTATTCTGCAGAAACAACCAGCATATGGGGTCAACCATTCTTTGAGATGGCAACCCCAGACAAAGACACACAAGCCTTCTTATAAGGAGCTCTCTAGAAAGATTAGATAATCTAAAATTTCATTGGTGGGTGCTAGGGGGACACAGGTGATCAGTGGTCTACATTCCTATGTCATGAGTATTCAATCATGTGATGAAATAGGGCTGCCCAGTGCAGATGGCCATTCTGAGATAAGATATTTCCCCATTTTTGTGGTTATTCTTTGGGACTGTTCTTTGGGAGGGAGTTTTATGATCTTATTGTGGATTTTTATGCTCTATTCCTAGAGCCAGTTCCTGGGACTTATGATCTATTCCTGAAGCTGGTGCCTCATGGCCTTTCTTTGAAATCAGGCCTGGTCCTCAAAATGGAGATAAATGGGTTTTATATTTACCCTTTCATGGGAATGACAAGTGAGTTCATTTAAGGAAAATTATTTTTTAAATTCTTGTAGGGGCTGGAGAGAAGGCTCAGTGGTTAACAGTGCTTGCTGCTCTTACAGAGGACTTGATTGAGTACAGTCCCAAACACCCATGTTAGGATACTGATAACCACCAGGGAACCCAGTGCCCTCTTCTGGATTCTCTGGGCATCTGCACACATATGACATACACTCATTGCACACAAAATAAAAGTAAGCCTTAAAACTTACTAATTTGAATGGAAATAGTGACAACAGGTGCCAGCCTTTCATCAACACTTTGAACCAGGCACAATTCTAATGACATGCATGTAATTCTTTTTTTTAAGCATGTTTTATTTTATTTTGTCTATTATGCCATTATTTCTTTTTTGTTTATTTGTTTTGATTTTTTTCTGTAGAACAACACAGGACATGAAATTTAATAATGAAAAATCAAAGTATAGCGTTATATATAGACACAAATCAATAAATAATGATGAGATACTGAAAGAGAAAAGTATAAATGGCAGACAGATTTTATTGCTGTAGTTGCTAGAATGACTACATCAGTATGCATGATTTCTGACTCTCAAAGATATTGTTTACTTGTTTATTTACTTAATTTTACACAGTAAAATTCCAGTAAACAAGACTGGCCAAAACCTCCAAAATATATAACAACGTCTGTTTTTGAGCACCTGGTCCCTTTGTCCCTAGCTCCCAAGTGCTAAGATTATAGGCATCCACCACTACACCTGATAGATTCCTAATGGCCTCCTGAAGGGTCAGTAAGTGGTCTCTATCTTGCACAGCTCCTCATATATATTAGTAGCATTGTATTAAGCCTCAAATTAAGACTTAACATTCACAGGGAATAAGAAATAACGTACTTCACAGGGGTAAAAATATAAGTGGAAATGTCCTTGATTTGTGGAACTAGGGCATACTATAAAGTCAAGTGTAATAAAGAGGGCTGAAGACATAGCTTAGATGGTAGACTGCTTAGCATGCAGCTCTGAATTGTCTCTCATACCATATAAACCAGGGGTGTTTGTACACTCCTATAAACGAGAATTAATATGGAGGCCAGATGGCCAAAAGCTTACAGTAATTATAAGCTATACAGAAAATTCAAGGTCAGCTTGGGCTGTATAGGTTCCTATATTTAAAAAAATTAAGAAAATTAATTTTTAAAAGACAATTATTATCTCTCCTACAGATATGCTGCTTTCTGCCCATTCAGATGATACAACTATAAATATTACCTAAAATGTTGAAATGCTGGAGTGTATCAAAATTCAATATATTTTATTGTTCTTTATGCTTTGCCAACTTTTTAATATACTTAAAAAACAAAGACTCCCTACTCCTCTTTTTATAGCTGTAATATGGGGCAAGTTAAGGACTGGAATCAGGAGAATGACAGTTAAAGATAGCCAGAAAAAGAGACGGGAGGGAGGAATCTGAGTAGCTAGTCATTTTCTAATGGTACATTTAGTTTGATGACCAGAAATTTTGCACTCAAATTCATTATATGTCATCAGATTCTGTTAAGTCTAGTCATTATAGTACTTCATCATTTCTTACAGGAAAAGTCTATTTTCTTTTACATTAAAAGATTACTTTCTTACTTTTTCTAGGGTGTAGTTTCCCTCTTTGTGTTGGAGTTTTCCATCTATTATCCTTTGTAGGGCTGGATTTGTGGAAAGATACTGTGTAAATTTAGTTTTGTCATGGAATCTTGGTTTCTCCATCTATGGTTATTACGAGTTTTGCTGGGTATAGTAACCTGGGCTGGCATTTGTGTTCTCTTAGGGTCTGTATGACATGTGTCCAGGATCTTCTGGCTTTTAGAGTCTCTGGTGAGAAGTCTGGTGTAATTCTGATAGGTCTGCCTTTGTGTGTTACTTGACCTTTTCCCCTTACTGCTTTTAATTTGTGCATTTGGTGTTTTGACTATTATATAACAGGAGGTATTTCTTTTCTGGTCTAGTCTATTTGAGTTCTGTAGGCTTCTTGTATATTCATAGGTATCTCCTTCCTTAGGTTAGGGAAGTTTTCTTCTATAATTTTGTTGAAAATATTTACTGGCCCTTTAAGTTGGGAATCTTCACTCTCATCTATACCTGTTATCCTTAGGTTTAGTCTTCTCATTGTGTCCTGGATTTCCTGGATGTTTTGGGTTAGGAGATTTTTGTGTTTTCTTTGACAGTTGTATCAATGTTTTCCATGGTATCTTCTACACATAGGAGTCTCTCGTCTATCACCTGGTATTCTGTTGGTGATACTTGCATCTATGACTCCTGATCTTTTTCCTAGGTTTTCTATCTCCCTTTGTGATTTCTTTATTGTTTCTACTTCCATTTTTATATCCTGGATGGTTTTGTTCAATTCCTTCACCCGTTTGGTTGTGTTTTCTTGTAATTCTTTAAGGGATTTTTGTGTTTCCTCTTTCAGGTCTTCTACCTATTTACCTGTGTTATCCTGTATTTCTTTTCTTTTTTTTTTTTCTTTTTTTTTTTTTTTTTTTTTGGTTTTTTTTGACAGGGGGTCTCCTCTTTATAGCCCGGGCTGTCCTGGAACTCACTCTGTAGACCAGGCTGGCCTCGAACTCAGAAATCCACCTGCCTCTGCCTCCCAAGTGCTGGGATTAAAGGCGTGCGCCACCACTGCCCGGCTAATCCTGTATTTCTTTAAGGAAGTTATTTATGTCCTTCTTAAAGTCCTCTATCATCATCATGAGATGTGATTTTAAATCAGTCTTGCTTTCCTGGTATGTTGGAGTATCCAGGGCTCGCTGTGGTGGGAGAACTGGGTTCTGATGATGCCAGGCAGACTTGGTTTCTGTTGCTTATGTTCTTTCCCTTGCCTCTCACCATCCGGTTCTCTCTGGTGTTAGCTGGTCTTGCTGTCTCTGACTGTGGCTTGTCCCTCCTGCTAGCCTGTGTGTCAGCACTCCTGGGAGACCTGTTCTCTCTGGGAAATGGGTATGGAGAGCTGTGGCACAGGGTCAGCTCTGGGGTGCGGATGGAAACTGGAAGGATCCTGTCCCTGGCTGTTCATTGGTTCCTGTGTCCTGATGGCTCTGGGCGGGTCCCTCTTGGGCCAGGAATTTGAGCAAAAGGGGTGGTCTTACCTGTGCTTTTAGGTGTGTTGGCACTCCTGGGAGACCAGCTCTCTCCTGGCGGTATTTGAGTATGGAGCGCTGTGGAACAGAGTCAGCTCTGGGCACAGATGGAAACTGGAAGGCATGTATTTAATTCTTAACACTCCTTTGAAATAGATACTTCCAGGAGCCAGCCCCGGCTTGGTGGGAGGAGAAGGTGATATTCTTTCTATCTCCTCTTGAGGCAGCTGAGGGTGATAGGAATTAGAAGAGCGTCGTCGAGGGTAAGACTTGATCTTATGAGATTTGGGGTAAGACTTTGGTCTTACGAGATATTTAGGGTTGCTGTTTAATAAAATCTTACTTGTCTAAGTTACTAAAGTTTACTTACTAGTCTACTGTAGCTAACCTGCAATCTGTTTGATCCTCTGAGGCCAGAAACTGCAGTTTCTGGCACTTAACACCTCCACCCAGGGACAGCAGAGAATTAAGCAATGCCTTTGATCTGTCTCTGCAGGCGCTGCCAGGCTCTAACTTAGGTCTGTTAGTTTGAGGTCGCAGGAAGAAAAGACACTTAGAAAAGTTATTATAGTTGTATAGTGTTGTATAGTGTAAAAAGTTTCCTAAGTGGGGAAGGGGAAAAAATTCTAACAAAGGAAAAATTCTAAGTGGAGAGATTCTAAGCAGGGAAGAAAGAAGAGAAGAGAGAGAAGAGAGAGCAGAAGAAGGAGTGAAGAGAGAGAGAAGAGTGGGAGAGAGAAAGTAAAGTGAAGTGACTGCTAACGAATGTCCCTTTGTCTTATACATCATTCAGAGTACTTGATCACATGTTACAAAGTTCATCACAAGTTCACACCAAAATTCAAATCATAAATTGAAACAGAAGTTTACAATGAGAATGTTTACGTGCATATCCATTAGGAGTAATTATCTGACTAAACATCCATCACCTGTCTAGCTCCACAGGTTCACCGAAGGTTTAAAACTATAACTAAGAAATTAGTGAAGTTTTGTACAGATAAACCCAAGCAATATTTTCTCTTCTGTCCTAGCACCTATAATAAATCGTGAGTTCCCTGTTAGTGACCTTTGGTTAATTGTTTTACAACCACCTTGGAATGTGCTCTGAGCAGGAGAGAGTCTGGTTACTATCTAAGCGCTGTTAACTGATGACACTTCGGAGACTGGCAGAGTTTTCATTGCAGTTTTGACTATCAGAAAGGGACATAATACCAGTCCCACTATAAAAGAGCTAAATAATCATTGACATAATTTTAGGAATTCTCATAGGATCATCATTAAGATTTAAGAAGTCGTCTATTTGTCTATATAGCATCACTACAAGACAGTACATCTTCGTGGGTCTGCAGAGATCTGCTCCAAAGGGGAGTGCTATTGCTTAGTGATTGTTATGTATGTTTAATAATAATAGTAATAGGAAAAGCATATTAATAGCAGGATCTTTCCTAATATATGTCTGGCCACAGCCTTGCTGATGGGGCACATTTGTCGCAGATTATATAATAATCCAAGGCAAGCATTTCAGGATGATCAACTGCTAATTATTAGCTTGTCCTATTATGGCTCCTGACAAGATACTGCTGTTACACTATTTTATACATAAGGGAAGATCTAATCCTAGATCAGAGATCATACATCTACTTAGTAGATTTTCCTAGGTGCTGTTTCTCTCATAAAGTTTTTGTGCAGACCCTGCATATTAAAGACTTGGTATCTAGCCTTTAGGAGAATTGAAAGAGAGCAGAACTTTCAGGAATGGAATTTAATGAAGGAAGTTAGATAAGCAGGCGAATGCCCTGTGAGGGCATATTGAGATTACAGACTCTTCCGTCCCTCCCTCCCCTCTCCGTCCTCCCTGCTTCTCAGATGCTTGAAGTGGTTAATCCTCCTTGAAGTGGTTAATACATCCTCCTGCTATGATGTATTATGTCACCATAGACACAAAGCAATGGGACCATATGAACATGGACCAAAAGTGAAGGAGAATAAATCCTTCCTCTTAAGTTAATTGAAGTGTTTTGTCACAGTTACAGCTGAGGAACACGCCAGGCCTATCACAGGAATTCAATACCAGTTGAATATGCTCAGTTATGTTTTCTTATTACCCAGGATTCATTTCCTAGGAAAGTGGGGTTATAAGCATGCGCTGCTGATAAACCAGTGGAAGCCAGACCTTTGTTGAAACTTTTGTCTGGTCTGTGCCTCAAATGATAACTTTACAGATAGTTTGCTCTTGTTGCTCCTAACTTGAAGAAATTTCAAGAAACCCAACTCGGATTGTATTTACAACTTGATTTGCTTTCTGAGTAATTCCTTCAAATTAACTGAGTGCTCATTCTTTTCTTTCTTTCTTAACAGAGTTCAGGATCAAGCTCAGAAGCTCACAGCTGCCAGCAAGTACTCTACTACTGAACTGTACCCTCTCTCCAGCCCATGCTTACTCTTGAATAGCCACAAAAATATTCAATGATATGGCAAAATAAAACTCCATTTCATTTAGACACGTAGGGTATTTTTTTTGCCACTTAAATTATTTTATATAGTTGAGTATACTCGATTTTTTTCCTAAGGAATTCTATGTATTTCAACTTACATCCTCAACCTTTATGTTATACGTAATTTCCTGGAGTTTTCAAAGTTGCTTTAATAAAAAGTGTAACGTTGAAACAGTTGTGGATTTACGTGTAGTTATGCGAATACATGTATCCTTTACCTTTTTCCCTAATTACAACATCTTCCAAAAATATATCACAAGCAGAAAGTGGACATTAATATAATCTATTAATCTGATTCGTATTTCTTTCCTAGTTATAGGTACAGTCATTTATGTATGCATATGAGTTTAATTTTATGTAATTTTATCATGTGTAGGTTTTTGAATCTATGACCATAATATTTGGGATACAGAATGTTTAGCATCACAAAGATTTCCTTAAATATTGTCTTTTTATAACTATACCACCTCTACCCCTTATACTCCATGCCTATCCCTAACACTTAAAAACCATAAATCTCTGATACATTTCTATAATTTTGTATTATCAAAAATGTTACATTACAATCTCTGTTTCAACATCCCACAGCTGCCCGACATGGTCCCTCTGGCCTGAACCCAGCTCACTTTGCCTTTGGTTGTTCATGTCACAGCCATTCCATTCCTCTGCTTCAAGGTGTGGGCCCTGAAAGGAACTGTACAGCTGCCCTGCCCCCTGACCAGTTCTGCTCTACCTCATTGTACCCTGACTGTTAAGACAAGATCACTCTGGCCTAGGTTGAGAAATTGACCCCGCCCTTACCTTGACCCCTGACATGTTCCACATCTGGTCCCATGTAGTCCACCAACCCTAGGTGTGGTAAGTAACCTTCCCATCCCAACTCCTCAGCCACTGGCCTCTGGTCTGGGGCTCTATAGCCACACCACTCAGACACTCTGGCCTCAACCCCAACTCTGTCGGAGACCTTATCTTGACCCAGATCCCAGACCCCTTAGCATGGGTTCTGCCCTAAGCTATGTAGCCTACAATACAACTTTGGAATTCTGACCTAGTGGTTTAAAAACCCATACCAAAACACAACTAACGATGTAAATCCAGATGCCCAGGCTACAGCACAAAAATTAGATAAACCAATATCTAATTGTTCTCCAAATCACCAATCTCATAATAATGTTCCCTAAAGAGAACAAGTTACAAGAAATTAAAGACACAGAATTCCAAAAGACAATACATGCTCAACAAGCTTAAAACATTCAGAGCAGGCACAAATAGCTACTTGAATTAAATTAAAGACAACAGGAATAAAATGGGAGTCCAAGTATACAAAAAAAAAAAAACAGCTAAGCAAAACAAGGAACAGTAAGACTGTAAATTCTCAGTCCAGCTATCTATAATTTAGGGTCCCTTGTAGGGAAGTTAGTTAGTTGTGGGTTATAGGTGGTGGTTGTGTCGTTTTTACGTTGCTCTGTTGTGTTTTATACATTTGTTGAAGTGGGTTCCTTTTGATTTTCCTCTTCTTCTGAGCCTATTAGAATATTCTATTTTCTGCCTAGAGGAACATTTGGATGCAGTTCAGCTAAGGGAACTAGTGGAACTCAGTGATGATTATTGAATGGGTTGCTGAAATTTCATTTTGGCTATGTGTCAACAGGACCAAAACCTTAGTTATTCCTTAGATTATATGAACATGCTGGAAACAGGATACCAAATTTCAGACCCAGTGAAGTCTGTCTGCTATTTTGGAGCTGTTAGAAAATCTTAATGAAATGGATGATTTTCTAGATACCACTTAACCAAAGTTAAATCAAGATCAGGTAGACTATTTAAATAGTCCCATAACCCTAAAGAAATAAAAGCAGCACTTAAACTCTCCCAACCGAAAAAAATAAAAAATAAAAAAAAGCCTAGGGACAGATGGTTTTAGTGCAGAATTCTACTGCACTTTCAAAGAAGAGCTAATTAGTACTAATTTTTGTAGTTGCACTTAAAAAAATAATAACGTTTATTCTTTTAAGGTCTATAAAGAATAGGGGCTCACAGAGGAGCCTGTCCACTAGAGAGCCTGAATGGGCCTAACCCAGGCTCTCTGCACGTACCTTCAGAAGGTCCTTCTTGTGGGACTTCTATCAGTGGGAGCAGGAGCTGTCTCTGACTCTGTTGCCTGTGTTTGGGGGACCCTTTCTTCCTACTAGGTTGCCCCATCTAGCCTTATTAGGAAAGGGGGTGTCTAGTCTTACTGCAAATCTGACATGCAATGGCTGATTGATATCCATCAAGGCTGGCTATTTTCTGAAGAGAAATAAAGGAGGAGTTGATAGGGGAGGAATGAGATGGAGGAGAAGAGGGAGGGGAAAATAGTTGGTTCTTTGAAAAGATAAGTAAGATTGACAAACCTTTAGCCAAAGTAACCAAAAGCAAGAGAAAGAAGACCTAAACTAATACAATCAGTCAGAAGGGAGACATTATACAAACTGAGACTGTTATATTTTGGAACAATCGTGTATTGTAGTATGAGTATAACAACAATTAATTTTAAAAGAGGCCATGAATTTAAAAGTAAGGAGGGATAGGGTATGGTAGAATTTGGTGGTAGGAAAGGGAAGGAGGAAATGGTATAATTATCTCAAAATTTTTTAAAAAATAAAGACAAAAAAGGAAATTACACACTGATATCCTGGGTGAACGTAAGTGTAGAAATTCTCTGTAAAATGCTGGCACACCATATTCAAAATCACATCAGAAATTATTCATGATGGAGTTACCTTCCTTCCTGAGATTGAGAGGTGTGGCTCGTCATAACTAAGTCAATAAATGTAACAGAGCACGTAAATGGACTCAAGGACAGAAATCACGTGATAAAGTGGACAGAGTAAGGGTGAAGGCGGAGTACCTCAGTGTGATAAGAGGCTGTCTATGAAAACCTGTAGATAACTTCATATAAAATGAAGACAAACTCAAGTGTATTGCTGCTAAAAACAAGGTTGTTCATATTCTCTACTACTCGTTAATACCAGTGCTTGAAGTCTTAGCTAAAGCACTAAAACAAGAAATATATTAGATACAAATAGGGAAAGAAGTCAACATGCAGACAAATGTATCTGACCAAAAGAAAGAAAGGTGAGAGAGGGAGAGGGGGAGGGGGAGGGGGAGAGAGGGAGGGGGAGGGGGAGAGGGAGAGGGAGAGGGAGAGGGAGAGGAGGAAAGAAACAAAGAAAGAAATCAGTTCCAAGTAGATTGAGACTCTCAACCTAAGACCTCATACTCTGAAAGTTTTATAGCAAAAAGTAGGGCGCATTTTTCAACATATAGTCATGGAGATGTTCTAAATAGGAATCTGATGGTACAGGATATAAAACTGACAAATGAGATCTCATGAAAATAAAGTTTCTATATAACAACACTATTAACTGGACAGTTAGCCCACAGAATGGGACGAGGTCCTCAAATTATGCATCTGTCAGAGGATTAGTGTCTAGAATATATAAGGAATTTTCATTTTGGCATCTTTGAGATCATAATTACATTTCTTTTCTTTCCTTAAAACCCTTCCACCTTCCCTGCTGTTTTTCAAATTCATGGGCTCTTTTTCACTAATCGTTATTGCATGCAAGATAGATACAGATATACATACACATATATACATATATAAAACACATGCAATATATATATATATATATACACACATACATATATACATATACTTAAATATAACCTATTCAGTTCATATAATGTAACTTATACTTATGTTTTCAGGGCTATTTGATACTGTACATCCAATTGGAGTGTTGTTTGCTGGGGAGGACCACCTCTCTTGGTAACATCAAGAAAATAAACAACCCAATTAAAATGATCTAGAGCACTAAACAGAGAGTTCTCAAAAGAAGCACTGCAAATGGCTAGGAAACACAAGACTCACCATCCTTTGCAATCAAGGAAACACAGATTCTCACTTTTCAATTTTCATCTCACTGTAGTCAGAATGGTTATTATCAAGAATACCAGTGGCATGGATGTGGACGATGGAATCTTCATTGTCTAAGTCTCGGGGAAGTATTGCAGAAGAGCAGTCAGGGACTAAGAGATGGAAGATAGGAAGGGCTGCAAAATTCCATCAAGACTCAGTACAACCATTGCAATGATGAGGCTATCAGACTCCAACAAATAGGTTAAATGGTTTCATACCCATGGTCACACAGATGGCCCTGGTTGTACTCAATAGATCACAAAACAAACAAAACAAATACACATGATTTGAAAAAGAGATTTGTAGGGAAGAGATAAGGTTGGCAGGGTTGCTTTGGGAGATGGGAAAGAGTGGGAGGTTAGTGTAGTCGGTTTATGACATGTACATACTGTCAAAGCACAACTTTGCTTGCTAATAAAGAGTTATATAAATAGAATCAAGACATTGAAAGTATTTCTGAGCCAGGCGGTGGTGGCGCACGCCTTTAATCCCAGCACTTGGGAGGCAGAGGCAGGTGGATTTCTGAGTTCGAGGCCAGCCTGGTCTACAGAGTGAGTTCCAGGACAGATAGGACTACACAGAGAAACCCTGTCTCGAAAAACCAAAAAAAAAAAAAGAAAGAAAGAAAAAGAAAGTATTTCTGAGTTGATTTTTCATGTTGTGAATGTACCATAGTTTTAAAAGTCTCTCAGCTATTAAAGCAGTCTTTGGTTTCTGGTTCAGAACTCTTAGGGACAAAGTTATCTTGAACGTTTGCTAACAGGCTTTTGTGTGGACATAAATTGCTTTTTTTTAAATCTCTGGAATAAATGCCTAGGGGTTCAATGGCAATATTGTATCATTAGTATGTGTTTAACTTAGTTTTAAAATAAGAAACTGTCAAAACTTTTGCAGAATTGCTGAACCATTTTACATCCCTGTCAACAATGTGAGAGTGATCCAGTGCCCCACATTCTCATCAACACTTGTTATTGTTGCTTTAAGAGAACAAGTTAACCATTCCATTTATTGAGAATTCATTTACCATACAGTGCATTGCTTAGA